ATATCAATGGGAAGAAAAGGTTAAAAATAATCAAAGAAAACTTAGAAAGTTTTTCTACAGGAAAGGCTAGCATTTATAAACTTCAAAATTCAAACTCTCTACAGAATTTCATTTCCATATAACATCAGTACTTTAAGGAGAGAGAAGAGGAGAAGGAGGAGAGATGGATATCTAAACCACTGAATATTTCCTTGCCTAAAATAAATAAATAAAAATGTATCTATTTATTTTAATATTTTTTCCTAGGCACTGAAGAGGACTTAAGATACAAACCCCTGATTTGCTGGGGTGTGCAACCCCAACTTACTTTGGCTATTTCTTACTTAACTCCTTTTTTGTATAGAGCTTAAACCCTCCACACTAGGTCATTCAAGTCTTGAGTCACCAGGAAAAAGAAGTCGCTGTTTAAAGCATGGCAGACGACCAAAAGTTCAGACAGCTGCAATGAAGGATTAGTTGTGGGTTTTTCTCACTGCCTTGCTACAAACTGCATCACAGCTCTATGTTCAAACATTATTAAATGGGAATGTTTTCTCTGGCACTGACTACTCCTCCCCACAGTTTAAGTATTGAATTTCTTTAACTGAAGTAGCTTTGGTTCACAGCTCACATTAGAACTTAAAAACATATTTCCATAGTAGCTGGCATATGCAGGCAACTGTTTATTCTCAGTACCAGCCATAATAAACATTTGTACTTTTATAATCCAACAAATCTTTGTCTAATCACAACTCTGTTTTCAGGGCTGTAAAATTTGCATGCTATTTAAACCATTTTTCATGAAGACTCTCTTGAAATGGAAAGATTTTCTAAGTGTGCCCCCATTATCAATACAGACCAATAATTCACTGTAAGGGATGTGAAGATAAATGGTGGGTGTTGATGCTAACTGAGAAAGAACTTTGTAAAGCAGGGCATGCTATCAGATTTTCAGGAGGAGAGTTTGTCTGGAAAGCATGGAGAAATGACACCTCGTTGGTTGGATGGGCTCTTTGGGTGAATTAGGACAGCAACTGACTGACTTTTGGGTTTATATTCTAGCATTCCAAAGCAGTAAAGCTCTGGAAAACGGAGCAATTTGAATTTGCTTTTGGCTCATGCCTTGTCAACAGAAGTAATGAAGGTCTGCATGCAGGATTGCTATGGCAAATGAAAGGGCCCAGCAGGACATTTGTATTCCCTTCGAATTTGCCAGAACTGATCATTCTAAAAGTATTTGTTTTTCATAGTTGATTTTGCTGGCAAAAGGAATCACCGAGGCACAGAAATATGGAGCCTGAAATGCTCTTTTATTGGAGCAAAATTAAGCTTTGAGGAGAAAAATTACTACCATCCTTCTTCTTTTTTTTTAATGGATGCTGCCATTTGTGACGATGAATTCGCAAGGAGCCAGTAATAAAAAGAATTGCTTTCAGCAAGAGTAGGTAATAATTTGAAAAGGATTATACTCTAGGCAGAGTCTGTGAAATGCACTGATTTTCATCCTGTGCATGTCTTCCCTTACCCAAGCTTTAGTGCTTACTGTCCTGAAAGCCAGTGGTTGAGTTTTTCACCTAAACAAATATCCCCCTCAGCGCGACACTGTTTCTGACTCAGTTTAATCTTCAGCTTCCAAGCAGCTCCCGATCATGCAACAAGAACACAATTTCCATTCAACAAGAACACAAGCTCAGGAGTCTCATGCATGCAGACCCCTGTGCCAGGAATCTGCCAGGGGATGGCCTTCCCCACCATTCACCTCTAAGGGGTGATGGAATGACATGCAGATGGAGTTATTGCAGACCCAGTTGTGAGCACTGACAGAGCATCAGAGGCCAACAGCAGCTACCAGGATAGCCAGCTTTGTCACTAGAAATGTGAGTGATTATTAAAAAGTGTAGCTGTACAGCTCTGCAAGAGGCAATACTACCACCAAGGTGGACAGAGACACAGCACCAGTGCTGCACTCAACCTGCCACATGAACACGGTGTGTTCAGCAAGATGATGATCCCACGAGCATCAGCATCACACTGTTAGCCTTGCCAAAAGTGGAGACAAATCTAAATATCCCATCTGGTTAGGCAGAAGCTGCTAGCATCTGAAGCAGACAACTCACAACTGCAGGAATTTGGGGTGGCAAAAGGGAGGCAGGAATATTCCCACTGCCTCCCAAGAAGAGTTGGCAGGATCAGAGAAGTGGAAGAATAGACACTAAGTTATTACAGTCACATGTAAATGTTGGCATTGGACAATAGCAGCAGGAAAAGAAAAATCAGTTAAAAGAACCTGAGAATGCTGAAAAAAGCCACAATAAATACTGAAGAACTGGAAGAGGAGCTATTTCTCATTAGAAAAGAACAAGGGTTTGAGAACTACTTGTACTTATTAAGATGGAACTGGCTTGGGACTATACAAAGTGGAAATTAAGAAAGCCAGAAAAAAAATCCACAGACACTTGAACAAAATGAAAAAGGGATCATGGTGCCGTCTCACAAGGCTGCAAGAGTATCAGTTGCCTCCTCAAGTTAAATCAAATTGTAAAGGACATCAGACTTACTTTAAGCAGGCCTAAGAAAAATAAATCATTGGCTAATGGACATCTTAGTAAATCATGAAATCCCCACCTGAGAAGGCACAATGGGAAGAGAGTTTAGCTGCAAGATCAAGAGGTGAGGAAATGAGTGAACCTGAGAAAGGATTAGCTAAGGAGGCCTTGAACACCAAATCACAAGCTTGCCAGAAAATTGATAATACCTGAGAGAATTTGCAATAACCATTGAAAAACTGTTCGGTGAAGAGGAAAAATCAGGGTTCATAGGAACCAAATGTATTCTCACTGTAATCTGTTGAAGTCAAATGAATCACAAAACAGGTAACCCTGGTGCTTAGTTTTTACTGGTGGAGTGAAAAAATGGCAGTATTTTACCACATCCTTTGCTCTTTAAGAAACATAACAGGAATCTCAGACAATTAGTGCTAGAAAGGGGAATGGAGTTCTTTAGCTGGAGAGAAATAATTCTGGGTGCAAAACAATGAGGTCCTGGAACTTATTTTCTCTCATCTTGCACCTACTGCTACTTGCTCCACCAACAGACAACACCTGATTAGGGGTTTTATGCATGTGTAATTTCCATACAGGATGTACAGCCATGGGACACCTGGGGCTCAGGAACCTCAATTACAACCTGAATTACAATCACTCTTGGAGCCTTTGAGCCTACAGACACAGCACACAGGAGCTGGGACACCACAGGGCACCACAGAAACAAACAGCCAGGCAACAGGCAGAGCTCTGAAGTCAGTTTCTAAGTGATGATAGCAAAAAAGTGAACTTAAAACACTGTAAAACAAATGTAGATGGATACATCCTCTCCAACCAGCTCCACACCCTTTCATGGCGGGATTTCTGGATTTTCATGCTAGAGTATCAAAGATGAAGATATTGGCTGTCACAGAATCACAGGATCAATATTATAAGCTGCAAGGGACTCACAATGATCATGGGGTTCAACTCCTGGCCGGCACAGGACACCCCAAGAGTCACACCACGAGCCTGAGAGCATTGTCCAAACTCTTCTTGAGCTCTGTCAGGCTGGTGCTGTGACCCCTTTCCTGGGGAGCCTGCTCAGTGGGCCACCCTCTGGGGAAAGAACCTTTTTCTAATATCCAACCTTAATCTTCCCTGACACATCTTCAGGCCATTCCCTCGTGTCCTGTCACTGGTCACCACAGAGACCAGGGCCTGTCCCTCCTCTTCCTCTCACAGGGAAGCTGTAGACTGCAATGAGGTCTCCCCTCATCACTGGCTGAGCTCCTGAGGACAAAATCTGGAGCTGTCCATCAGTCTGGAAGGCAGAAGGACAGAAGGGGACTCCAGAGTAGGAACCTCTCCTTTGAGCATACACACACCTCTAACAAGAGAAAACTAAGAATAAATTGGAGAAGATACCCCAGTAGGATATTTCATGTATTTCATGGGGTGAAGCGATGGTTTACAATCAACTGCTTGTAAAGAACTTTTAAAAGCAAATTTCAATTCTTAGATAAAGTTGCAATGAGTGGAGTGCTAATATTGTGTAGAACAAAACCACGAGGAAATGAGATACATCCAACCCTCTGTTAGTTCAAGGCACACAGCAAGCCAGATTCTGGTCTCCTTACCACAAGCTGAGCTGGGCAAATCTCCTAAAGTTAAAAGGCTCTGGATGGATTTTCATTTTGAGATTAAAACAGTCTGCCCATCAACCTCAGTGGATGAGTTGTGATTTATATTAAAGCAGTCAAAAAAGTCAATCTGATCTTCCAAACATCTTTCACACTCAAATTTAAATGTTTCGTTGCTGTCATATGGTGGAGGACAATGAAATCTCATCCTATGGATTCTCCTTCTTATTCCCTATAGACACTCAATGGTGCAGACTACTACAGCTTATATAAACTATAGGAGTAACTACTTGTCAAGCTAATGTAGATCATGTTTTGCCTTTTTAAAAACTCAAAGCAGATTAAGGGTTTGTAATTCACTTCCATGCAGCTGAATTACAGTTCCATCATAGGAGGTGAATGAATGCTCATCTCCCCTTGATACAAGCAGGATGAAACCACTTGGAAGGCTTGATCCTTGAAAACAAAAGGGGAAAGCACAGGATAAAATCCTGTGTCCTCCTCTGAGTTCAAGGGGATTTTTGCTCTTCAGTAGACTTAGACACTAATTCATTACACCTTTCATTACACCTTTTTTGGTCTGTACCAATACTTCTGTATTGGACTCTGCTGTACAGTTAACAAAAAGGACAGGAATTCACATGTAAATATTTTTCATTATTCTACTGAAAATCACCTCAGTTTCCACCTGTACTTACCTTTGGACGAAAGCTATGCATAGTCCCACCAGGTTGAAAAAACCACACAAGCTATTTTTTTACAGAAGACAATACTAAATTAATCAATCACCAGTATTTCATACAAGACTGGCCCCACCTCAACAGGGGCTGTTTTGACAGAAAGAGTAAAAAACTGGTAGGAAGAAAAAAATATTTTTATTCTCAGTTTCACATAGTGGAATTTAATTTAGCTTTCAAGAAAGATCAACACTGCTCTCAGAATTTAAGCAATGTTTACAAGATCATTAGTTGTGCTTTGTTAAACACCTCATTTCAGCTATTCAAATGCACCTTAATATCTTTCAGGTGCACTAGGATTCATTATCACTTTATTCACCATCACATAAAAAGTCGTATATAAATAATACAATTCATAGTTCAGAAAGAGGAACTGTTATGTCTTCCATAGTTCATAATCTGACAGAAGTTCTTGAGAATTTAGCTGCACTGCTACAACTCAGTAGAACAGCGCTGAAATGAGGAACCTTAGTGTTATCCCAGAAAACAGAAATGGTCTGTTCTGTTGTGTTTGTGCAAGGGAAAGGAAGCTCAAGGGGAAGCTCATGTGCACCAGTTCTGCAGGGTGAAAAGCCATGCTCACAGAAGAGTCAGTGCAGCACGAAGTGACCTTTCAGGAGTGGACCTTGGGACAAAAGGTGCAGCTCAAAGAAGCACCTTTGAGGTATGTCTAACTGGAACTACAGGCGATCAAAAACAATGGTAAGGAGCAATGGTGAGTCTTCACTTCTGTAAAGTACTTCCTGGTGGTTTCACTCATCAGGATTCCTTCTTTTCCTCCACTTCCAACAGCTCATCAAGGAATTCCACAACTTCACCCTAGAAATTATTAAATTTAACAGAAAGAAATTAACCCCAAAACCTGGTGGGAAATTTCTGCTATTTTAATAAAAAAATTAACTGCAATAATAGTTGTGCAAATATTTTTAACACCCTCCATGCAGACACTAGTACAACAAACCCATAAAATACAGGTAAATGGTCCATACCAGTGTAGCCCAAGACTTGCAGTGACACAGACCTTAAAAGGAGAACAAGTTATATACACTTCACAGTAAATCCTCTCATACTTTTACAGGTACTTAAATAGACAATGAAATCTTCAGACTTAGAGAGGAATAAATGTTTAAAGCACCTGTTAAATTAGGAAGTTGTTAGAATCCCATAAAACATTAAAAAATTTTAGAAAGCTTCAAAATTCGAAGCCAAAGCATTTTATAGAACCATAACTTTGACTTTGTATGTCTGCTCTAACCTTTTACATTCCCTGTCACACCCTTCAACACACACCTTCTCCATTTTCAACCACGGATCTTCACAAGCCATGCTTCAATGCAGCAAAAATGTGAAGAACCAGAGATACTAGAATGTTTTCCATACTGGAAACAAATAGACTGGATTTAGATTCAGACCAGAAAATTTACAAGCTGGAGCTAACAGCTTACACAGGGTACCAACACAATGTAGCAATCTAACTTTATTTAAACTACTCCTAATGTAGTTCTACATCCTATACCTTAGTTAAATGTCTTCCTGCATTCCTGTGGTGTTTGTGAGATCCCCAGGACAAGTGAGAGATGCGGAATCTGACTCCATGTTCTCAGAAGGCTGATTTATTATTTTATGATATGATATGATATGATATGATATGATATGATATGATATGATATTATATTATATTATATTATATTATATTATATTATATTATATTATAGAATGCTATACTAAAACTATACTAAAGAAAAAGAAGGATACAGACAGAAGGCTTAACAAGAATGAATAATTAGAACTCGTGACTGACTCCTCAGAGTCTGACACAGATGGACCATGGTTGGTCATTAATTAAAAACAATTCACATGAAACCAAACATGCACCTGTTGGAAAACAATGTCCAGACCACATTCCAAAGCAGCCAAACACAGGAGAAGCAAATCAGATAATTATTATTTACATTTTTCTCTGAGGCTTCTCAACTTCCCAGCAGAAGAAATCCTGGCAAAGGGATTTTTCAGAAAAGATGACACATTCCAGCCTGAGTACTCTGGGATGATACAGCTCCACTGGCTGGAACTTACTGTCCTGTCAACAAACTACAGCAGCTGAGCTAAAACCTTCTGTGATCGCTTTCAGCACAAGGTAACACCCTCAGTGGTGCAAAGCAGGTGGTCAACAGCAACTGTGCAGCAGCATATCTGGGTCAGGACTGAAGGCACTTGAGACAGTAATTCATGTTCAGGCTCAGGTGTTTATTATTTCTTATCAGTAAAACATTCTCACTACTGTGAGTTCAGCAGCTTTTCATTAGAAGGCACAAAATGGCCAACAATCTCTTGTTACAAGCTCTTTTAAGACTAAACTATCCAATTAAGAACTGACATCTAAATTGTTTTCCTTTTAACCCAATAACTGATCCCAAAGAGCTGCAATGAGGACTTTTCTGCCCGATTACAAAATGCCACCCAAAGTCATGAAGAAGAAGGAAGAAGAAACATGAAGAAGAAACTCAGGACGACACCCTGTGCCCTCCATCTTGCTTCCATATACAACATTTTAAAAATTCCAAAACCTAAATTTCTCTCCAAGTGATACACCTACACTACTCTACTATAATCTGTTTCGCACTTTTGTGGATTCTAGTTTATCTTGAAGTCCAGGAAACTTTCTCCATGAATGAGGGTCAAAGTCATTGCTCCCTGGGGGTCAGGGCACCCCAGAGCAGACAGAGAAATATTCCCAGTGCTCTGGGTTTCCACAGCAGCATCTCAAACTCCTCAAAACTGCCTGTAGGAGCCTGTCTGCTGGCACCCTCAGAAACACAAGTATTTGCTGGTCTGCCTTCCACACACAGTTCAGAAACACTGTCTGAGAGGGAATTCCCTGTGGGAATACCTGTGCCCATCCTCACTTTTTGATATGACTTAAACTAGAGAGATGCAGATGCTCAATGCTACATTTCCAACATTTTACTCTAGTAATTACAATGTTCTGATAAACTTTGTTTTGTTTAAACCTTTCTGTTCTTTTTTTCTTGACAGAAACCTATGGTCTAAAAAAATCTTGAGATGTCATTTAGGTTTTTTCCAAAATAAATTGCCATTTTCTGCTGGAAAAAATCATACTCACTCATCATATTTAAATTTATGAGAACTTCTACCAGTTATGTTAAAAGCAAGTCATCTTTGTTTGGATGCTCATTCTCCTTCTTCACTTCATCACCCATTCCAAGTCTGTGAACTGTACTGGGGTTCTGAGTCTGCTCAATTGATGTTTACAATCCCAATCCCACTTTTAGCACATTTTTGTCTAAACAGGCATTCCTTAGAAAGACAGCATCTTCTAGACACATTCTGAGACTCAAAATTTTACTGTTTTCTATTCTGGTGAGAAAAGGGCATTAAAACTCTGTCAATGAAAACAATAAGAGGAATAGAGAAATTCTGTCTATTTTGAATACAATAATGGTATTATGGATATTGTGATTAAAAAGTATTAGCATCACACTTTTAGGAAGCATGACTTTTAGGAGAGAAATAACGAAAGTAAGCAAACAACGATAAAAGCAGGAAGAAAGCTGGCTGAAATTACTGCTGTTCTTGTTCCCTGCTTCACAAAGGACCACTGAGGTTTTGAAACTATGAAGTGATTTTAGCAAGTCCTGAAGGACAGCAATTTGTTCAAAAGATTTAAGCATCCAACACATTATTGCCACACTCATCACTAAGACAGAATTTTTCCGAAGACACACAACATACAGACAAAATTCAAGTTGTCTGGTATGTTTTCAAATCCAGAAACATGTAAGAGATGAAAAAGGATATTTAAATGCAACTATTAGGCAAAAATCACCCTAAAGAAACCTGAACTCTGAAATCTCTAGTGTCTGAAACTGAGCTCTAAAGGAAAACATTGCAGAAGCTATTGTGGTCTAATTAGATGTACTGAGGAATAAGAGAGGTTGAAATACGGCAAAAATATAAAAACAATTGCTGAAACAATATACATAAAATATGCTGCAATACAACTGAGTAATTGCCTGGGTGTTGGTTATTTTGGAAAAGGCAAAACCTCCAGATTAAAGACAAACAAAACCCCAGTTGAAACATTTTTGCCTGTGCCTTCACAATCAAAATGTGAAACATTTGCAAGTTGTCACTGGAGAGAGGTTGGCAGCCCAACGAAGAGGTGGTAACTCTGCCCCAGAGGAGGAGATCACATTGTCACACTGGCAGCTGTGCCCGGGCCAGCACTGCCCTTGTTCCATTAGCACTCACTTCACACTGCACAGACACCTCTAGCTGAGCTCAGCACATATTCCACAGATGCTCATTCCAGGGAAAGAAGCCTTCTGCCTGCTGATTTCTAGTAACTTCCTGCTGATCCATGCCTGCAGACCTGCAGTCTGAAATGAGTCTTTGACACGATTTACTCCCTCAGTGAGACTGAGTCGCTCCTGTCACCTGCTGTGCTCTTTGGCTCCTCCCTACCTTTACAGGAAGAACATCCCATTTCCATGCTCAATCGGCTGCAAACCCATAATTCTTTCCACTGCCAGACACCCGAGGGCACAAGGGCCAGCAGCTCCAAGGCAGGAACACAAACACACGGCTCCAGCCCAGGGCTGATGTCAGTGGTGGTGAGCAATCCACGGCCCAAAGCAAAACAGAGATTTTTGGAGCTCACTTGAATTAGCAATATGAATTAAATATTTAAAGTTTAGCCTGTAGAACTATATGTTGAATTTTAACCTTTTTACTTAAGAAACTTCTGCCATGGTACAAAGGGCATAGGAAAATGCAAATTTCTGAAGCTTCTTGCATAAAGAACAATACCAGAGAAGACCAAGGTGTAGTAAACCCCTCAGGTTTAGCCAGGGCCCCTTGGAGAATAGAATGCTGACACAGCGGCAAAGAAGTTTCCTGTCTCCAGGGACATCCGCCTTGTACCTTATCCCTATAGCCATGTAAGGCAATATTGTGTTAAACCCTACTATTGGTCACTTATAGTCACCCTAACACCTTTGCCATTGGTCAGGATTAGATCCAGGCCAAGGGTATAAAAGTAGCATACTGTACCCCTACTAACTCGGAAGAAGAAGAGCTGAGACCCTTCACAGACCCCTACAATAAAGCCATACTCATAAAACAGCCAGCGTCTTCTGCTTCTCCTCTCTCTACCGTCTGCTGGAGCCTTAAGCCAAGAGAAAAGCTACCTAGCAAGCAAAGCTGAAATCACAAGAGCTGCCTAATCACTAAGAGCTGAATATCTCCCTGCTTGCTAGGGGCTAACCCGCAGCCTTGGTCTGAGAGCAAGCTGACTTCTAGCACCCAGTCCCCTTGGGGACTGAGCTCTGGAGCGGTAACAGCTTGCATAAGATACGACCAAGCAAGGCTCATTTACCAAGGGATGCAAAGAGCCCAGATTAAGGGACTCCTCCATCTCCAAGCTAATCAAGGCCGACAGACTCCTCAGATAAGCACCAAGGGACCAAAAGCGCACACACAAAGGAGAAAAGTTCAAAAGTTCGGTCATGAGGAAGACCACAATCTTCAGCCTCAGAAGCCACCAGAAACCCCTGTGAGACCACCACAGCAAACAAGGCATGCCCACAAGGGCGTGGATCTGATTACCATGCCAGGCAAGGACAGGTGGGGCCAGGGGCTGGATATGCATGGAAAAGTTGTGCAATGTATTGCATATGGAACACCTTTGTGAATAAAGATGTGGGTAAGACTGAAGCTCAGGGCACAAGTTTTCACGAGAGCTATCTCGCTTGTGCTAGGCACTGACATACACACCCACTTCATGACTATATCTGCTTGTGGAGTGTGAAAAGTGCATATTATATGGCTCTACGCAGATATTTACCATGTGTATTTTGATGTATTGACTAGTAGTGCTGTATTAACATTTTAATAATAGATGTAGTCTTGTAATTAGAAGGTAACTTTTGTAGTTAAAATAAGAACCATGTTAGTTTTTTTTTAAAGAAAGGAATGAGGCACTCACACCAGCTAGCAGTCCCAGGACACCTAAATCTTTCAGGGAAAAGAATTTATTGTCTTCTTATCAGAAGAAACTAACTTCTTCCCCGCCTTGAAGGCGCTGTTAGGATTAGAAGGAAGAAGCTGACAATGATCAGACAGAATCCTGTACTTGAATGGAATTTATGCATCATGTATGAAGTGTATGAATATGCAATGGGCTATTGTTCTTAAGGGTTAATCCTTTATTAACAGGGATCCTTTTTTGGGCTGTGATGCCCAGAAAGAGGTACCCGGAGATCCGTAATTCTTTGTCTCTATTGTCTCATATTGTCCTAATTCAATTTGTCCAAACTGCTATTACTCTAATTGTGTTACTAATTTTTTTTTTACCATT